AGAGAGAGGAGAGAGAGAGAGAGAGAGAGAGGGAGGATATTTTGTCTCCCCGAGAGTCTGAAAGGAAACTCAATGTTCTGCATACAGTGCAATAACTTGGGGGTATTAATTTAAACGTGTAACACGTGGGCTTGTGTGCATTTGTTTTCCCGGCACAGGCGGAAGTAGCACTAACGAGATGAGAAAACGAGCAATTAACTTCGTCACTTCGGACGAGGAGGAAACGCGCAGATGATCGACGCGCACATTATCATGTGTAAAGCATATGTGCGTAGCCCGCGCCTGCTTCACGATGAATGGCATTTAGTAAGTTATTACTATTGAGTTTTTATTAGACATTACTCAGCGATATAAGATTACATCAAATAAAAATCCCTGAGAAGACTTTGCTGCGAAAAACCAATTGACTTCTATTCTTCTAGAAAAAAATTTTTTTTAATTATAGAAAGAATAAAAAGTGATTCGTATTTTAAGATGCAAAAATGCAATTTCTTTCTATCAGAAATTTTTTCTGCGCAAGTAAAATTATTAATTTAAATAGACAATAAATTATCAATTCATTCTATAATTTTAACGATTTTTCTTTAACTTTTGTAGCATATCAAGCGGTATATCGAGATTTTCATGCATAAAATCTAATAAAATTTTGTAAAATATAATATGTATGTCATGATTAATTATGGTGGTGTTAGAGCTAATGCGCCATAAGTGCTCCATGTAAGATGACATTCGGTAATTTAACATCGTCGACTTTGGTCACAACATCGTCCCAGCGGTATACATAAATCAGTCTGTTCCGTTTCTTCTACCGTTTTGTATGATCCCCGTGTTTTCTTACGCAATCGTGCATATGCCCCGGCTAGACGCGGAAAAACTACCGGCAGGAAGCCACGTGAGACCCATGTGAAGAGTGGCGAGATGCCTAGTCAGAATAATTTTATTCCCTGTAATGGTAAAAAATAAAATAGAATTAAAAAAGTATCTTATACATAATATTTTAATATTTAAAAAATTTTTCTTTTAGTTTTCTTCTTCTCTCATTCTATATATCAGAAATAAAATAAAATTAATTCTATTACAAATCTATACTGTTAAATAGAACATTTAATTTACTACGATCGATAATAATCTCATTACTTTCTTATGCGTAAGATTTATATTCAGTTTCATGATGTCTGGAATTTATTATGCTTCGTCAAGCCTATCGCGCGCGAGATAACTTTATGCTCATCGTAAAAGTATTTTTCTTAACGTGTTGATCTTGTCGAGTTTGTCATGCTTTATGATAATTAAGTCCCTTGTAATGAACGCTCAGTTGGTTTTTTTTTGTAATCTTCGATCGGAGTCCGATTTCAATATAAACGGTAGCCGCTAGTAAATCTAATATATAATAAAATAAATTCTCGCGCGCGCGGGTAACCGAGAACCTAGTCTCGATTCTCAGATAAGAAGAAAACAGCGATATACAGGGTGATCATTTTTGTATTGTGAAATTAGAATTAATTCTCTATTGGGAAAAGTTAAGTAAAAGACTTCATTACAAACGATTATTTGCATATTTAAAATTTACATATTTAAATCACACGCAATGTAGATTTCAGTAGTGTGAATAAACGTCGACGTAAAATTTTTCAAGGAATTTAGATGAAAAGTAATAGTGAAGGCACCGTATATGTGGCAGACGAAAAGACTGAAGGAAGGATAAAGGGAAGAAGAGGAGTGAGATTTATTGCCAGACTCTAGAATATACTGTGCTGTTGTAATTACCAAATTCTGACTTTTGTTTCGTCGATAGTTTATCCGCTGTTTTTCTATTACACTAGTGACGGAATTACATTTTGAAATTTATCAGCGCAATTGCATTCCTTTCTGTTATGTTAAAAATTAGCATTAGACATAAAAAAATTAAAATTAGTCTTCTCTATTTTTTTTTAAATCGATTTTTTTATCTTTAAAAAGTTTAACTATTTTATTTGTCGAAGAATTTACAGCTGCAAAATTATAGTGTTGAAATAATTGATTGAGTTTGTGTACAATGGAAGGCACGAAGATATGCGCAATAAATAATCAAACACTTGGCCGAGAATCACCCCTCGGCTCGCGGTAATTAAATATCGAATACATGAGCTCCCCCTTTTATCGTAACCTGCCGGAATAATATGGGGAATCAAGTCGTTGATATTGCGTCAGCAAAATAAATGGCTCGATCGTGAATATGAATATTAATTTTTGAATTTGTCAAGCATTCATCATCCGTCCAAATTTTCCGGGTGACAGTGAACAATATTCAAAGCTGCACACATCGAACTATTTACTCAATCAATTATTAAAATAATTCTCTGTAATCTTTTTCTTTTTTTATAATACACATTTTTCTAATAGATGTTTTTTTTTTTAGTGCCTATATACGTGTACCAAATTGTCAAATAAGCGTTTACACGTGTCGAGAACACGGATGAAGAAATAAAAGTATCGGAAATGTTTTTTTCGATTTATCTAAATCCCTGTTTCATCCGAAATCACCATCGGCCTCGATGTACCTTCGTCTTCACCTCGGACCCCACGTGATATCAGCGTCTTCTCCCACGAGGTAGATTTATGATCAAGAAAATATAGGATCTATCCCCGTCCCGCCCGATCCTCCCCCCCGGTCCATCTATCGCCAGCACGCTGTCTACGGTAGGAATCCCCTATTACATAAACGAGCCACATAGCCTCTTGTACATAGAACAGAGATACTCGGCTATCTCTCGTGGTTCACATAGGCGTAGATAAACGCACAGATATAATCGGGCATGCTGACAGAAGTGTCCTTTCCTTCTTCCCCACCGTCCTTCCGTCTCTCGCGCGCGCGGAAGGCTACCTGCCCCGCGGGATACCGCTTCACGATAGATCGGAGACGATCGCGGCGGATCTCCCGCTCTGGATCATCGGGGAATTAGGGAGCATGATTCGAGCATTCCACGGCGTCGCGATCCTTCGAGGCCGAGGAATGGAGCCGGTCAACTACGATCGGCAGGATATCTTTTCCGAGAACGGAAATCCGGGAGCCGCTGACATATCTGTTAAGCTCGTATTACACACGATAGAGTTATCGTACAACGGATGAGAACAACGGAAACGGTTTATCTCAAACAAACACAAGTTTGTCGATTCAGTTAAGATTGATAAGTTAAATATGTGAGATTATTTATCGGTTTCATCAGATACCGATATTAAAATATCTAGTAACAGAGTTTACAGTTGTCAAAAATGATATTTACAATTTTAGTCATCAATTGTTTTTTCCAGACTCTAAAGAGATTATATCTCGTCGATGTTTGTATGCGGCTGTTGTTATCCTATTTATTGCGTCATTCAAACACAACGTGGAGATTCGAGGAGAAGTAAGAGGTGTCTATCTGAGCCGAGGGGATTGTCCTTCCTCTTTCTCTCGTCGTCGTGCGCCAAGGATCCAGCAAGCAGCTGTGGAATGTCTTCATTAAAATACTCCAGCTCATCATTTATGCAGAGCAAAAACGCAACGAGGTGAGCGCCGAACGCGTCCGACATCAACGAGATTCGCACTTTGCTCGCGGGCGTCCTTCAATTTCGCGTTTCTTCGTTCTAACGATGCACAAACATTTTTTTCGCCTGCTAAAGGAAGTAGGATAATGTATTTCGCAAGTCTTGCGACAATTCTTAGAGCTTTATCGTGCTTTCTTCTCAAAAATTTTATTAAATTTTGTTTCGCCTTTTTCTGCAACTTTATAAATATTAAATCGAGATCTGTTTTATAATTATTGAGAAGACTTAACATCTTGACTTGATTTTATTCTGAATTTATAAATCGTCTAAAGTGGACTTTGAGAAGACGAAATAATTATTCATATATTTTAATTTCCCATTATTTTTAGAAGCAAGAATACAAAATGCTCA